GGGGAAGAGGAGGACGGGGCACTAGAGGAGGAGGACGTGGAGGTAGGGGACGTTCACAGTGCACTTACTGTAAGAGGATGGGTCACACCCAAGAAAACTACTACTCCTTGCATGGTTTTCCTTCAAAAACAGCCAATATCTCTAAGGCTGAAACTCCCACTTCCAACTCCAAGTTCACTGAGGAAGAGTATCTGCGATTAAAGTCTAACAGCTTGACGCAATCATCTCAATCCCCAAGTACATCCACAGCTTGCATTTCTCAATCCATGGAAGGTCAAAATTCATGGGTAATTGACTTGGGTGCTTCTGATCACATCTCTGGTAATACCTCATTGTTCTCAACCCTTTCCCTCCAAGAAAAACCCCATTTCATTACTCTTGCAAATGGCTCTAAAACTTGTTCAAAGGGAGTCGATCAAGTCTCCCTGTCTCCCTCTCTAACTCTGAAATCTGTTCTTTTTGTCCCTAATTGTCCATTCAATTTAATTTCCTTAAGTCAGTTAACCAAAATGTTACATTGTTCAATAACTTTCAATTCAAAATCTTTTGTTATACAGGAGCGTGGCTCAGGGAGACAGATTGGAGAAGAATATGAAGCTGGAGGTTTATACCATTTTGGAACTCGTCCACGGGTCTCCTGTGTTGCAACTCTTCCCCCTAAAGTGTTACATGACCGATTTGGCCACCCTCACTTGTCAAAGTTAAAAAAGATGTGTCCTGAACTTAGTGAGACTTTAGAATGTGAGTCTTGTCAACTAGTAAAACATGTTAGATCTGTCTTTCCTAAAAAGTTTCAATAAATATGTAATTCTAGTTTTTCTATTATTCATTCTGATGTCTGGGGAACTAGTCGCGTCTCTTCTTTTGGTTTTAGGTACTTTGTTACCTTTATTGATGAGTATTCTAGATGTACTTGGGTTTATCTAATGAAAGATCGCTCTGAATTGTTACCCATCTTCACATCCTTTTTGAATGAAATCAAGAACCAAATTGGTCAAGTGATTAAAATCTTAACAAGTGATAATGCTAAAGAGTATTTCTCATCCAATTTTTCTGCAATCCTTAGCTCCCATGGTATTTTGCATCAGTCCACTTGTCCTCATACACCCGAACAAAATGGTATAGTCGAAAGAAACAATAGACACTTAGTTGAAACTGCTCGTACCCTTTTGCTTGGTGCCCATATACCTGTCCATCACTGGGGGATGCCATCTTAACCGCCTGTTTTCTTATTAATAGGATGCCTTCCTCCTCTCTCAATAATAAAGTCCCTTTCTCCATTCTCTCTCCCAATGATCCTTTCTTTCACACCCCTCCTCGGGTTTTTGGTTGTGTATGTTTTGTTCACGACATGTCTCTAGGGCTAGACAAGCTCTCCGCTCATGCAATCAAATGTGTCTTTTTGGGCTATTCTCGACTTCAAAAAGGGTACCGGTGTTACTCTCCTGAAACCAAGAAGTACTACATGTCTGCAATGTTACATTCTTTGAACAGACACTTTTCTTCTCTCCATCTGTTCAAGATGTCCATATCCTCCAACAGGTGCTTCCTCTTCCAGTAGTTGAGTCCAATATCTCTAATGTCACTGTCAATCCAAGTCATGCTCAAGGTCCTCCCGAACCTTCCTCTCCACATATTGATATCTTCCGACACAGTACCCCGATGGGTAGTCCTCTTCTAGAAAATGGTGGATCTCCTCCTTCAGATTCTTCTCCCTCATCGCCTCCTGCCACGCCTCCTGGTGAAGATGATTTTGGTTGGCCCATTGCTCTCAGAAAAGGTACTCGTTCCACTCGAAACCCTCATCCCATTTATAATTTTCTTAGGTATCACAGATTGTCGCCCTCCTTTTATTCCCTTTTATCCTCAGTGTTCTCTGTGGTTATACCCAAAAATGTGAAAGAAGCACTTGATCTTCCTGGATGGCGATAAGCCATGATTGCTAAAATGCAGGCTCTTGACCACAGTAATACTTGGGAGCTTGTGCCACTTCCCCCGGGCAAAAAGGCTGTTGGTTGTCAATGGGTCTTTGCAATTAAAGTTGGCCCTAATGGTGACATTGATCGGCTCAAAGACCGACTAGTTGCAAAAGGGTACACTCAGGTGTATGGCCTTGATTATTGTGACACATTTTCTCCCATGGCCAAGATGACTACCATTCGTCTGTTCTTTGCAATGACAGCAATTCGTCATTGGCCACTTCATCAATTAGATATCAAGAATGCCTTTCTCCATGGTGATCTTGAGGAGGAAGTTTATATGGAGCAACCTCCTGGGTTTGTTGCTCAGTGGGAGTCTGGTATGGTTTGCAAATTGCACCGATCTCTATATGGGCTCAAGCAATCACCATGTGCTTGGTTTGGAAAATTCAGCTCCATTGTTCAGAAATTTGGGCTTAAATTTGTATATGTTGTAAATTGCACCATGTGCTTGGTTTGGAAAATTCAGCACCATGTGCTTGGTTTGCAAATTGCACCATTCTCAATTGTATATGTTGATGATATCGTTATTACAGGGAATGATACTGCTGGAATATCTCAATTGAAGGAGTACTTCTGTAGACATTTCCAAACCAAGGATCTTGGAAGCCTTAAATACTTCTTAGGCATTGAAGTAGCTCAGTCAAAAGATGGAGTTGTAATCTCCCAAAGGAAGTATGCTCTGGATATTTTGCAAGAAACAGGCATGATTGATTGTAGACCGGTTTAGAGTCTCATGGACCCAAATCAAAAATTAACAACAGAAGGTGAGTTATTCTCCGACTTGGAGAGATATAGGAGGCTAGTTGGAAAACTAATCTATCTCACTATTACAAGGCCAGATCTATCTTTTGTTGTTGGGGTGGTTAGTCAGTTCATGCAAGCTCCATGTGTTGGCCATTGGAAAGCTATCATTCGCATTCTAAGGTATCTGAAAAAGGCTCTTGGGCAAGGGTTGTTATATGAAGAAAAAGGAAGCCTTCAGGTATCAGGATATTGTGATGCCGATTGGGCAGGTTCTCCTATTGATAGACGATCTACTACTGGATATTGTGTTTTCCTTGGAGGAAACATTATCTCATGGAAAAGTAAGAAACAAAATGTAGTGGCTCGATTAACAGCGGAAGCTGAATATAGGGTAATGGCGTCACTAACATGTGAACTTATATGGGTGAAACAGTTCCTTCAAGAGCTTAACTTCTGTGACATCCAGAGTATAAAGATGTATTGTGATAACCAAGCTACTCTTCACATTGCATCAAATCCAGTGTTTCACGAGAGGACTAAGCATATAAAAATTGATTGTCATTTTGTTCGGGAAAAGTTATTGTCAAAAGAAATATGTACCAAGTTTGTTGGATCAAATGACCAACTCGCAGTTGTGTTGACTAAGTCATTAAGGGGACCTCGGATCGAGTTTATTTGTTCCAAGCTTGGTACATACAATCTGTATGCTCCAGCTTGAGGGGGAGTGTTAGAATTATTGGTTATTGTGTATGAGTTATGTGTGTATGAGTTGTGTTCAAGTGTGTTCCAACTAAGAGTGAGTTGGAAAGGAGTGTGGTTAGTTACTTTGTTTTCTATAAATGTAAGTGTAGAGGTGTTTAAGCCCTGAAGAGAACATATTTTTATCTCAAGTCAGTCAACAATTCATCAGCCTTGTTGGCGGGTGCTTTAATGTCGTTGTCGCTGCAGTTAGTTGTTGTAACCTCTGCAGTTTGTCACTGTTGCCTCAATAAGCTGTCGCATTTTCTTTGGTCAAGATTAAGAGTGTCTCATGAAGTGCACTAGCCGTCGTTTCCGTTGTTTGCCGTGAGGGGAAATATTTTTCAGCCCCTGCAGAGAACTTTCTTCTTGGGCTAGAGTTTACCCTGTACTTCTTGTGATACAGTGTTAAGTATCACCATTTACGAGTAGTCCAGCAGAGAACTTTGGACCTCTAACCTGTCTTTGGCCTTTTGATGCCATCATAAATCTCAATCTTTGGTGTTTTTGGTTTCTGCCAATGCTTTGTTATAACAGCTCACTAAGAGTTGTTCTTTGAGACCGCCCGCTGAATTGACTCTTTCAAAGTTATGGGATTCAAATTTGTCCCTCGTACAGATCAATTCTCACCCGTTCTTCCACCTTCACATTCTGCGTTCAATCGTGAGGAAAAGAAAAGTTTCAACCGCTGTAAGGTAGTGGAGACCCTGCAGGTTTGTTGCTGTTTCAACCGCTGTAAGGTGGTTAAGTCCCTACAGGATTGTTGTTGTTAGCCGCTGCAAGGAAGTTCAGTTCCTGCAGGTTCGTTGTTGTTAGGGTAGTTAAGTCCCTAAAGGTTCGTTGTTGTTAGGGCAGTTAAGTCCCTAAAGGTTCGTTGTTGTTAGGGCAGTTAAGTCCCTAAAGGTTCATTAATATTAGCCTTTGAAGACCTCCCATATGTTACTCATGGAAATCAAGTTCTTGAAGCTTTGTTGTTGTTCGCCACTATTGATGGCAATCTAGTCCCTGCAGTTTGTTGCGATTAACCACTACAAGCCTTCATCCATTCTTGTAGTTTGCTGCTGCAAGTCATCATCCATTGTTAATGCAAATCTCTTTTGTCCATTGTTGTCCATTATTCTCCATATGATGCTGAGGAGTCTCTTGGGCTACATGTGTTTGTGTGTGCAATTTGGTTTATTGACATTATCTCTGATTGGGTTTGTCTATTCCAAGTTTGGTTCATACAATCTTGTATGATCCAGCTTGAGGGGGAGTGTTGTAATTTGAGATAATATCTTTAGAATCTTCCTAATTAAAGGAAATAGATATATAATCTTTTATTTTATTTTCCTTTCCTAGTTTTCCTATTTCTCTTTTTAGGAGAATTAGACTATTACAAATAGAGAGTATCAGAATGTATTTTTTATGATTCTGAATAATAAAATCAGTCCTATTTTCAACTACATTGTTTCCTCCTTGTCTTAAAATGAAAAACCAGTGACTGGATCACTTTGTATAGAAAAAATCAGACAAAAATTCAAATAGAATATTTACCTCATCAATTTCCACGTTAAAGGCTACAATTCCACCAAATGCACTCACAGGATCGGCTTTAACAGCTAGTCTGTAGGCTTCAAGAATATCATCACGTGATGCTACTCCACAAGGATTGGTATGCTTCACTACTACACAGGTGGGGTTCTTAAACTCACATACACAGTTCCAAGCTGCATCAGCATCCAAGTAGTTATTATATGACATCTCCTGCATGATAATGTTAAGGTTGTAATGTTAGGGTTATTACATGAAGATTTATAGAAACGGTACAATTTTCAGTTACAAACTCTTAAACTCTTAAATATATGAAATACATTTAGCAGTAAATTTAGATGATGATGATGAAAGAAATTAGTGTGTTGACTCCCACCTTTCCATGGTGTTGGATGGCTGTAGCAATTCCACCAGCATTAACCTCAGAAAGTTTTTTGTCGACATAGAACGCAGCTTTTTGATGGGGATTTTCACCATAACGGAGAGAACTTTTGAGTGAAAGAGGCACTGTTAAGCTAGGAGGAAATTTATCTGTCATCAAATACAGAATAAGTAAATCTATTGAGAACATAAATATTAACAAAAGCACTATAAATATTTAAACTAAACACATATTCAGTATACTCGCATAATATACAGACAGTTCTGTTCATGTTTCAGAATTAAATATATGATTTCAATTTTTTTCACTGATTTCACGAACTTCAAAATTAGAAAATGTATAAAATATATGAAATTTGTACACCAACTAATCTGCTGGCTATACATGAAGCTTTAACATTCTAGGATTATATTAATAGATTATTAATATTTTTCTGTAATGGACGTTTCCATCTCACTGAGGAAATGAAATAACAATAGTTGAGTGTGAATCAATAATCAATTCCTCACAAACTTGAAACAAAAGTACCTCCCACACTCTGCTTCCACAACCACTCAGATACTGCAGAGTCATAGGAAGCAACATGTTGAAAAGCTTTCCATGCAAGTTTTAGCCTGAACTTTTCATCATCGTGGTTTCCTTTAAGAAATTCCAGAAGGCCAGGGTAATCTTCTGTATCAACCACTACTAAAACATCCTTGTGATTCTGCTCAAATAAGAATTTATCACCATATACTCAAAATATTTCAATAGAAAAACTAAAAAATTCAGGTCAAAGACAGTATGCAATGGACAGGGGTTCTTATACTTTCCACATATGTCAGATCAGTGATAGGATATTTTCTGAGCCATTTTAGAAAAGCCTTTTAAGTTTTCATGACAACATAAAGATTTATGAATGATGTCAAGAGGTCAAATTTATTGAGGTTTGGCATATTCAGTCAAAAAACCACCTTTGCAGCAGCTCTAATCATGGCTGGACCACCAATGTCAATATTTTCAATTCCATCCTCAAATTCAATGCCACCAGCTGATGTGACTTTATCGTAAAATGGGTACAAGTTCACCACCACAACATCAAAAGTACCTAAAAGGAGAAACTATAAGCAAAAGAAAATACAACCTCTCAAACTAAATGAGCACAACATAAACTGAACAGAAAACTAGCACCATGCGCTTGTAATAGCTGTTGATAGCAACATAACTTACCAATTCCATGTGTATTAAGTGCTTCAATATGATGTTTTAGGTCCCTTCTAGCCAGGATACCCCCATGTATGTTAGGGTGCAAAGTTTTGACACGACCATCAAGCTGCAAAAAAAGCCACAACATTCTGCTAGTAAGTACACACTGAGAGCAAACCCAGGCACAATGGTAAAAGTTGTAACTTGAGGAATGCTTGGCCATGGGTTTGAATACCGAATTTATAACATATCCATTCTGCTGAGGGTGCCAACATTTATAAGATTACCATAGCAAGGAGATTAGCCATCAATCTAAACTCTAAAAAGTTTGCAACTATGACACTCCAAATTTCCATATTGGAAATGTTGGTTTAAGTAAACAAAAAATGAGGAGTCACGATGCTAATACAGACTAAAACTTTTGGACCCATGTACAGGTGTGGCTACCAACATTCAATAGAAACCATTAAAGTTACAATAAAAGAAACACCATAACAGCTAGTTCCGCAGGAAAATATCAGCAGAAAACTAAAGCCTTATAACCCAATAAAAACATTAAAAACAGCTTGACTAACCAATTAGAAAACACTTATAGTAGAGACAAAAATAAGGTAAATTGCTTAAGCTTATGATTACAAGTTAAAATCAAGTTAAAGTGCTTCTATAACAGTTAAAGTGCAAAATTCTTTCCTAACATATAGGAGAAACTTAATTCATTTGATATCCTTATTGTCTTTTGTAAAAGTTCTAATAAAAATGTTTATCCAAACAGGGCCTAGTCACAATAATTCATAGACGTATCATCAGAAGTTTCAGCACTAGAATTGTTCATGAGAGTTTAGAGAAGAAAACTCAAGTAGCAACGCGCACACACCATTTCAGGGAACTGAGTAAGCTGTTCTACTTTAGTAACAGCTACTCCAGCCTTCTCCAAAGCAGAAGCTGTTCCTCCAGTTGAAACAATAGTGTATCTACAATTTAATAGAGGAACTGTCAATAATTCACTATAGCAACTGAAGCTTCTCAAGATTCCACAAACCACATATAAAAAAAAAGCGCCAATAAATAGTATAAAACAATAAAATAAATAGTATAAAACAATAGTATTCTAACATACTAGAAAATAAACTCATTAATTGTAATAATTTATTTACCCTAATTCCTGGAGCCCATTGCCAACAAATGCAAGATCCTTCTTATCTGACAATGATATCAAGGCTTGCTTGGTCCCTGTTTCACAGAAAAACATTGTATGTCAGAAACAGTTATCTTTACATTTTAAAGTATAGAAAACATCACCAAAGGGTAAAATATGGGTATGTTTTGACACTTACAGATTAAAGTAAACATGTATGTCTAAACTGAAATCACAAATAATAAATACAAATTCACTCTATAATTAAAACTAAACTGGTTTGGATGGAACAGAGGGAAGGAAAGTTATTCAAAACATTTTTATGGGGCAAATCACCAAACCTTAAATTAGGAGGACTTATTGAATGCAAACATACAAGATACAACTGCTGCGGATGTGCTTAATATAGTAAAACAATGAATTTTTTAAGTTAGTTGATTTGACATCTCAACCGTGAGAAGTTTTCTGTGTCTGCCCTACTAAAATCCCTCTTATGCTCATGAAGTGCAACAAATGAGCTTCGGTGGAGATTTTGACAATGGTGGCCTTCTAAACCATGCTTGTAGCAGCTCTGACAATTGATATACTTAGATGGAGTCCAGTAATAATATGTTACCTATTCAATTATGCAGAAACGATATTCTAAATCAGACAGGATTGTCTCAAAAGCACTTATCATTTATGCAATCGTGTCTTGCACTCAAACTTAAAAGTGATGCTTAGTAGTCAAAAGGCTCAGACATTTGAAGATAGCTCTGTAAATGCTAATTTGAAGACACAAACAAAAGTTGCAAAACAAATAGTTTCTAATGCATTACCAACCAACTCATAACACTGGATATGAACAACGAGAAAATAGAGTTTAGCTGCATATCAGTCATAATTGACAGTTACCAAATAATCATCAGCCACAGAATCAATTATTCTCTATACTACTACGGGAAATAATGAATAGCTTAGTGCGATAGAAAAGGGACCAGAAAAACTAGTAAGTCCAAAATCTCTGAAAAACTCAGTGCGGATTAATCACAAAAGGTCATGCAATAAAAAATAAAAAAACGGCATTAAGAGAGAAATATAACCACCCTTTGAGATCAGAAAACAAAGACACGAATGCAATCCACTCCATTTGAAGCCACAGATGTGGTATTGTGTAAATCACCCCCGTTAGATAAAAAAAAAATATTCATTTTGGCTATCCTTAAAGGGGTGAAAAATAAACAAACAAAACCCCTAAATAAAACAATTGAAAACACGAAAGAAAAGAGGTAGTGGAATTGAAAAGTACCAGGGACAGAGGAAGAAGAAGCAAATTTAGAGGCTGCTATGGTATCAGTCTCCGCCATGGCTTTGATGGGAACACCCCTGAAATGCAGTGAAGATGACCGCACCTGAACATACCCATTTGAAAACCAATACCATTTAGCAACAAAAAAAAAATCAGATAAAAAAAAGGAGAAAAAGAAGAATACCAAAGTTTTGGATAGGAGATGGGAAGAGAAGTTATGGGGGGTTGTGAGGGAATAAGGAGAGTGAAGAGTTCCAGAGAGAATGCGAGAGGGGATGGTGGCTGCGGTGGTAGCGGCGGCGGAGGTGGCTGCGGCGGAGGAAGCACCCAACACAAACATCCTCTGAGTGTGTTAAAGAGTGACACAACCAATGAGTTATGTTAACAAAGTTTTTGACTTAGGTTTGATAGATTCTCTTATTCTTGTCCTTTTCATCAAATAGGTTGTGTTACTTTGTTGTGTTCAATGGGCACGTCTTATATGAAACTCAACTCTTGGGAAAACCCAAAATCCAATCACAATTTTTAGCACAAAATTGTGGAAAGTTTACATCAAACATTTTGTTTGGAGAGTGAAATAAAATACCGTGATTAATGAAATAATTAAATTTATTGTAACATAATAATGTGATAAATGGATGGCATGTCTTTTATTTATAATAATAATAATAATAATAATAATATTATTATGTAAAAGGATGATAATACTAATACGAGGATTAAGGATTTAGTTACTTCTATTCAACAACTTGTTACTTCCATCAATGATGAGGATGATATGGGTCAAAGGTTAAGAAGTTATTTGATGATAGTAATTTGGTACTTGCAATAAATGATAAGTTTGCTATCTAAGTGTGGATTTTGGATTCTGGTTGTATTTACATGTGTTCCCAAACCAAAGTTCGTTTGAGATATATCAGAAGAGGGCTTGCGATACTTGTCTAATTGAAGTTCAGTTTTATTGTCTGACTTTAACACTTTTTTTCATCCTTCATATATATTTTTACCAAACTATCAAGGAGTTCAGTTTTAGAGATTAATGTACCACACGAGAAAAATAATAAATAAATTAAATTAAATTAAATTTTAGTGTAATTACATTTTGATGAATAAATATATATTTTTGTAGTTTTTCATGTTACTTTATTATATAATTACTATAATTGTTATAAAAGTCATCATATATGATGATTTATTAATTAGAAGAATTTCAATAATTTAATTAGAAAAGGAAATTATTAGATATGACTAGGAATTCTAAAAGCTATTTTTGAATATTGTTTTTATTTAAAAATTAAAAGATATCTTAATATATTATTATATGTAATTGGATATTATTGTTAGATAATAATAATAATAATAATAATAATAATAATAATAATAATAATAATAATAATAATAATAATAATAATGATGATATTATGATACAATATATTATTTATGGACTCATAAGAATAAATTAGAACAAAGATAATTTTATTTGATTATATTCTAAAAATAATGGATTTTTATAAAGATTAAGAAAATAAATCGAATAGAGATAGGTATGTCTCTTATTTATATTATGTTAACATAGAAACCTTAGCCATCAAGAAACAGAGACATAAACTTTAAGGGTGATAGTGAGGGTTTGATTGAGTGAAGATTTGTGAGAGCTCCAAGGTGTTATTGAAGTGCATTGGTTATTCTAGAAAAAAGTTTTAGCGGGAAACCAAGGTAAGGGGAGCTTAAATTCGTGATTTTTTTTCTTGCTTTCTTTTCTTGCCTTGTTTGTATGTGTACATGATTAATTGAGTACAATTGATGTTTGTTTTGGCAAATACATGTTATTGACTTTGTGATGCAAATACGAAACTATGTTATTTCCTTGTACTGTGGCCGGTCATGTATGAGCTTTTCGTATTACGCTATGTTAAGGATGTTGGAGTCTCGTGTAGAGACAAAGATTCGAGTGTCACTTCCTTTAGCGCGAGAAGGTGGATGTCTCACCCAAAAGGCTTCATCTTGTACTGAGTATAATGCACCGATGCGCATAGTGTTTTTACTCGTTAGTCCTTGAGAAGTCGGGGAGATAGGTCTGAAGTTACGATAGAAGACGACTTGAATCGCCCTGTTTTATGAAACAGTAGAGGGAAACGACATTGATTTATGAATGGTTTGGTTGTGATGTTAATGTTGTGATGAAATATAATTATATTATTATGTATTTAAAATGATTGTTGTATATTGTATCTTATGATATTTCTGGTTGCTCACTCTTGCATGTTGTGGTTTCCACTTGCAAGATCGTTTTATATGGAAGCAGATGATTATGCAGTTAGTTCAGATGTTGTATAGCACGACAAGTGGATTGAGAGTTGGGAAATTTATGATTTTTTGAATAAACTATTTTATATAAAGTTTTATTTTATAATTAAATCAGAATTTTGGTTTATTTTTCTTGAATTTGAAAAACTTATTGAATTTGAATTTCTCCAAAAGTATTATGATTTTAAAAATTTAAATTTTCATTTGTAATCGCAGCATTCCAAAATTGGAGTGTTATATTTTGATATCAAAACTAGATTTTTAAAAATCTTTGGAGACCTGTCTAGTTTTTATAATGTCTTTTGTATGATTTAATTTGTTTGTTGTGATGTAAGGAAAGTTACTGTTTGTTTTGTATAATTCTAAAGGTTTGTTGTGGTGTTTGTACGGAGTGGCTTGTTTCATAAATATGCAGTAGTGTTTTGTTTCCTCTCCATACTTTAATCGTCCCTTGATTTTCTTTCATCATTGTCGCCAATTATATTTCTTTTACTGTGATAATTGATATTTGATCGTATGTGTTTTTATTTTTATTTTGAATATTTGGAATGTGGATTGTTTTAGGGATCTGATGCATTTCTAGAAAACGTAAGATTAATATAATTGTATTTGTATATAGAATAGGTCATTGGGAATTTATTAACACTGAATAAGTTTTTGTTGGCCTATTTCTCACAAACCCTATATTTGGATTAATAGTTTTGTCACGTGAATCACACCCATAAAGAATTGCAAATACCCATGAAGATTAATTAATGGACTAAATACTTCTCACATTACCAATCTAATCTTGTTGTTCGGTGACATGCAAGCCTGAATTGTGTGTGTATATATAT